GGGGCACCGCCCCCCTCCGGGAGCGGCGCGCGGGCGTCACGTGCGCGCGGCCGCGGCCGCTATGGCGGCCGCGGCCGTTATGGCGGCCGCGCGAGCGCCCCCGTGCGGGGAGCCGCCCAGCGCCCCCTTCCCCAACGACCCCTCCGGGGGAAGGGGACGGCGCCATGACGGGAGCCAGCCCTTCGCTACCGGAGAGGCGCCAAATTGCCCCGAAATACGGCATTTCTCCCACAATTCACCCTAACATATATATTTGATGAAACACATGGATTCCATCCATACATTCCCTGCACACAAGGACATGGAAGTGAGTGTTCTGTCAGCACTCAACCCCCTGTTTCACAGCCCCCGATTCCTGAGCACAGAAGCGCAAGGATTCCCTCTAATGAAAGGTTCCACTTTTCCCAGCAAGTCCCAGTGGAAAAACAAAGCAGCTGCTTTCCTTTCGGTCACAGCCACCTTAGTCATGACTTGTTCCCATTAAAAAACAAAAATGAGGAGGCTAATAAGCCATTAGGGAACCATGGCGAGTTATTGTGGTAAATCCAGCTGAGGAAAGCAAAACAAATTCTTACCTAGTTGGGAAATGGGTTGCGGTGTCCCCAGCCAGCTGGTTTTGTTATACCTAAGGGTATRTGTCCTTACGGTATAGCAACAGAGCAGAGCATGCTGCCTGGCATCAGGGGAATAAACACTGATGTGCCAGAAAAACACCCGGGCACTAAAAACAGCCTTTTCCTCCTCAGGAGCTGCTGTGCTCTCCTGCTTCATCTTTCCATGTCCCAAGAAGTGCCTTGCAGTCTCAGGGCAACATGGTTGGATTTATTACATATAAATATATATATAAAAATCTGCCATAAGCAATCTTAACTTCGTTAGCTAAGTTCTTTAGCTTCTTTAGCTGCCACATGCATCATCACTAGACCTGCTATTAGTAAAAAGCTTTTGGAGTAGAGTTTTCCCATCAACAAATCACATTTCCAGACTGGAAATGAAGACCTCTTCATTCAGTGACCCTAGGGGTAGTTTTTCCTCAGATGATGCTGTAGAGGCCCCCAGCTGAAGTTCAGCRACACTTTATTTAAGGGGGGAGCAAGAGCAGGATAGCAGGAGCTCCAGCAATGCTGGTAATTTCAGAAGCACCCTTATTTTGAAGAGGAGAGGAAGGAAAAATTAAAAAAAGATAAAAAAAAAGTCCTCTATCATCCTCCTAGCCTCCCCCAAGATAAAGACTGTTTTTCTTTTCTCTGGGAACATTTAAATATCTCCCAGCCAGAAATCAGTCCACTTGCCTGTGTGTGTTCATCTTAACACAGAGGATTAGCTACTTTTCTCTGTCCTTAAAAATATAGAAACCCCCCAAAACCAAGAATAAACACCCCCCCACCCCAATACAGGCCCATGTACCACCACACRGAAGTGTTAAGAGACATACAGCAAGTGCTGAGCTCTGCTTTTAACACCTTTCCTCAAAAAGCTGCTGGCTAAACATTGCTTTGCACAGCACTGTTTACACATGCAAGCCACCCCCTCCACTGGTTTTATTTATCTTAAGCAACCCATGACCTTTGAGACTTTGTTCCAGTCATAAATGTTTTTGCACTATGTTTATTACATGCCTATAATATCCTAGCCTATGTTTTGCACCAGTAGCTCCAATTCTTCCACATTTTTGCCCAGGTCCCTTTCTTAGTATAGGAGCTACTTCTGTTGTACCTTACTTGTTTAGCCAGTCTCACAGTTGTAGTCCTTTATTTTTTATCAATGTTGAATATTTTTCTCATATCAACATTAATGCTTTATAGTGTAGCTGTAAAGCATTACTACATCTCCRAATAACTGCTTGCTTTCTTTACACTGCAAATGARTGTGGAGATGAAGTAGCAACCAGCTCCCTCCCCTGATAAGAGATTCCTCAAGAAAGAGTCATAGGCCAAGAAGCAACATGTCCTCTAATATATTACAAGTTATATAATATATATATAAAATATATAATAGAAGCTAAGGAACTTGTAAGTCAGGACTGAGGGAGTCCCATCAAATTTAAATAAGGACCCATTACAATGCATTATATGCTCACTGTTCCTAACGACTAGTAGATGCYAATACCACGGTCTTCTGTGGCTGTTGTGCATAGTAATAACCCATCTTATCTTAAAAAAATGTTGCTGAATAAGAGAATGAAAAGGGGCCTGGAGAAGTTTGTGTGCTAATTAACACTGTAGCAATAGAATTATTGAAGTTTCAAAACTCATTCAGCAATTCTTAATAAAGCTATAGAGCAAAACGCTAAACAAAGTTATGTATCAGTAGTTATAACATAATAAATTTGTGTTTACAGGTTAAACTGATTTTTGGAGATTAGAGTGAAAATTGGTRGCATGCAACTGACTAAGAGAGGCACTTACCTCTTATGTGTAGCTTACATAAGATTTATAAAGCTCATATTACCGTTGTGTACCCCATGAGTCTGCTTTTTGCTGTTAGCTGTGGCACAGATCCCTCTTTGGCAGACAAGCAGTTTGCAAAGCAAGGGTTTGTACAGGCCTCACTTCCCCAGGTAGCAACAATTACTGGATTGTACAACTCAGTTGCAGTCTGGCCGCTCCTACGTTCTCCTTGTTCTGCAGTCCAGCAACAGTTTCCAATATCTCATTTTGTATACATTACTTTTTTTCCCCTCAGTGAATTTCATCTTCTGCAACAATACCATATCTCTAAGTTAAAGACTTCAACCTTGGGATATACCTTAAGGTTAGGATAGACTTACCCAGCCCAAATAAGCTGCCACCAGCTGCAACTTTTGCTCCTTCATTGCTCATCTCTTCCACAAACTATATTCCTATGTACAACTCTGGCACCGAGATGTRCAGATGGAGATATTCCACCTGCTAGGCTTCTGCGTGCAGAAAGCTGACCATTTATTCCCACCCTGGTTCTACTGACCCTCAGCAGTTCATAGTCTCTGGGAGAATGTTATTTGCTGCTATTTTAATGGCATTTCTTTAGCATCGCCCTTTGAAGAACTTTGTGAAAGCTTTTTTTTTTGGAAATCCCAAATAAATTACATAACTTATTTTCCATTGCTGTCTCCCCAGCTTAGTGTGTTCTTCAGGACATATGACTCTCTTCAGTGCCAACAATTCCGACCAAGAAAAAAACAATTAAAAAACCCAAGAACACCCACATTGGTTTCCACTTGGGAGGGATGYTCCTCCAAACGCTTTGCCCTGTCACAAGACATTTTCCTCTTACACAAGAGGCAAAGTCTCTTCTTCCATTTCCTCTGCCTGAACATCTACACTGATGTATGCCAGTGTCTGCAGCTTGTTATGAAGTCAAGGAAAAGACGCAGCTCGGTGAGCAGTGAAGCTATTAGAGCTGCCGCCCATTGCACCTGGGACTCCTGGTTGAGCATTCCCAACACCAAGTGAAGTGTGATCCATGAACAAAGGTTTTCCCACGGTGGAAGCACTCGCATTATCCTTCTCCCTTACAGCGTCACTTGCACCCGGTGGTGGTTTGGCTCATGATGCACTCCTTGGCATTACAAGGAGAATCCTGTTTCTCATCCCAGTTGCCTATTCCATACTCAGCCTGAGAATACTCTCCTATTTACAGCAGAGTAAAGAATTGTCACTGCAAACAGTCTTCTCCAAGTGGTCTGTTCCTCTGTCAAGCGTGGTTGCAAAGCTCACAAGCCAAACCCACACTGCTGAAGGAAAATCTGGTGGAGATGGGTCATCACCAGAGCTTTGTGACAGTCTGGAGTGGGTTCGCTCCTYGTCATTTGTTGCCCACCAGGTGGCAGCTGCGAGCTGTTCAACCGAGGATGACATCCTAGATCTGGGGTACCCTTATCCCACCCATCCTCAGGTTGAGGGGTTACAGCTGAAGCAGTTCCCTCACTGGAGTTGCCTTCAGAGAGCAGGGAGGCCCAGGGAAGCCAGCCAAGATTAGTCTCAATGTCTCAGGTACTGCAGGTCAGGTATCTCAGGTCTCAATTGTCTCGGACAATTCCTATAGTTCCCCCTTTCCAGGCCCTGGTTCGAGTGCAGTCTGGGGAGCTTGGTTGTTCTCCAGGGCATCCCCCTTGCCTCTTAGCCCTTCCATGGGAGCCACAGATGCCAGGCTAGCTTGAGGACTTTTAAGTTTATGTAACTGTGGTCGCCTGTGCCTGGGCTGGTCTCTGAGCCTTGAGGGCATCAATTCCCAGTGATGCACTGGTCATAACCCTCCCTCTAGGGCATAACCCTCTTCCAGTTATTTGGAGCATAGAAATTCCATCCCTTCCTTTGGTATCACCAAAACCTTCATTTTTTTTTCTCCCCATCAAAAARTGTCTAAATCTTATTCTGGCTTCCACACACCCCTCAGATGATAAGCCTCACAGTACAACCAAGCACCCTGTGAGAAAGTATCAGCTAGGGGCTTGCAGGCTGAGGACTATGGAGCTTGAGAGTCCAAATCCATTTTGCTTCCAATTAAACTTGCAGTCCTTGCTGCATGCAACCTCTCCCTCTCCACATATCATATTCTAGGTTCAAAAGGAGATGCTGGCAGCCAACATAGTTGTTCTCTCCTAGCCCTTACCACTCCCCAGAAAAAAACAAGTCATGTTCACCCTGTTC